CGTTCATATAGACTGTGGCAGAGGCAGCCCGGACCTCTCGTTCTTCTCCCAAAAGTCCAGCGCCTCCACCACCTCCTCCCCCCTTTTCGTCTCGTCCGCAAACAGAATCTAAGGCGAGCCGTGGTTAGTTCTCCTCGTGTAGCTTGCAAAACGTCTCAGGAGCATGGACTCACCTCGTGTGTGCTGCTGTGCAGCATGCGGATGTTCTTGTGCGGCACAATGTGCACCGCCCCGTTCTCAATGTTGCGCAGCTCGATAAAGTTGGCCTCGAACGCCAAGATCCACGGGTAGCTCAGCGCAAAGCTGTGCGGCGCACCCTCCCAGTCGATCCGCCACTCGGGCCGCGCGCGCCAGCCGTTGCGGTTGACAAAGAAGGAGAACTCGGAGTAGTTGAGCAGGAACTCGCCGTTGAGCCGCTCAATGTGGATCGGCTTGACCGACTCCTTGCGCGCCACAAAGTCGAGACTCGTGTCGGCCTGGTCCAGCAGCGACTGCGTCTCGAGCGTCTCGAGCGACACGACCTCGAAGCCCCGCGCGCACGCCACGCAGAGCTTGCTCTTGAGGAAGTGCACAGACGACGACTCGGTCGGAATGTAAAACTCCTTGAACGGCTTGAGCTCGTCCTGGCCCGCAAACATCTTGCCGAAACCCTTTTGCTTCTTGCCCTTGTTGAAAGCATCCGTCGGTTCGTACACCTTGATCGTCGTCGAGAGCGCCGACGACTTGACACAGCAGACCAGGTGCCGTCCCAGGCAGATACCCGTCTTGAAAAACGTGCAGTGGCTCTGGATCTTCTTGCCTCGCTTCGACGAAGCCGGCTCGGTGGGATCCAGCGCCGCGATGGCATACGAATACACCGCCTTGTTCGTGAGCACCAGCAGCAGCCCGTACTCTTCGAGGATGTCAATCTGCGTCACCACCGCCGTCTCGATGACCCGCTTCGGCATCATGTCCTTGTTCTTGCGATCCGAGACGTAGATGCCCGTGTCCGTACCGTAGATCAGCTTGCGACCGCCGTCGCATGGCGTCACGCAGTTGATCTGGTTCGCGCCCACAAAGTAGTTGCTCGAGATGACCGTCGTGTTGAAGAAGTCGGCCCTCGCCCTCAGCTGC